TGATAATTTAAGATTCCCAGTAGTAGGACGACATTAATCAATATTTTCATTCCAGAGAATGTTATTTTCTAACTAAATACTAATGTAATAACATGTAGTTAAGTGTACCAATGTTTTTGATGCACAAATTCAAGTTGTGAAGCGTTCATCTGTTACATTTTATTTCTAGCTTTATAGTTTTGAAAAGGAAAATTTCAAATAATTTTAGGAAAATATATAAGCGATTTGGAATGATTATTGTATTTCATAGGTCATATCTTAAACCTACCTTAATTCGACGATTGTTGTTTATCATGAAGGAGTGAAAAGTTACTTTTTTCTTATATGGGTTTTATTAGAAGTGTACAATTTTCATTATACTAGAGATTTATTTAGGACTTTCAAATCTTACAGTGAGCATTTAACCTTTAAGCCATCAAATCAGCATCCAGTAGTATACTCAATTTCCACTTATGTAATAAAGTAACACTAGAAATTCTTTTTGATTTTTTCTCTGTCAATATTCATAATAGTCAAAAACATAAATGACGTTTATGATTTTAAAATTGTCTCTAAGCAAATAAAAATAACTATCAGAATGTGAATAAGTAATTCTAGTCAAATGATTTATGTATCTAGTTATATAAATGATGGAATATGGCGGATAACATTGAAAGCTTTATTCAGTTCAACTTGATGATCTGTGTCAAACAAGTGAGAGAGAATAGAACTCTTAATCACTTTTACCTGCCCTTTGCTCAATCATGATGAATGGTGTTCTGTTACACGATGATGAACTAGCCAAATTGTAAGCCCTATATAACTGGCTCCAGAGAAGCAGTTGAAGCTATAAATAAACATGGATTTGGTGAATTCAGACAATCTGTCTTTATTGTCCGTTGTTATTTTGGGATGGTTGTAGAAGACGGCACTCAGTCTGTCTGAATTAAATGTTTTATATACCGGCTTTCTTAATCTCTGAGTCATGATTTCTTTAGTAGTATTAATTAGAAACTGATGGATACAGGTCATCAAGTTGAATTGAATACAGCTTTTAAAGTTACCCACCATATATACACATATATATATTTTCTGATATTATGGAACCAAGTTATATACATTTGATTAAAATGACTATTTTAAAAAGGTTATTTAACTGTTTATATTGGAGTGATGACGCTAATAATGCTGAGTTAGTTTTAACCGTTATTCAAAGAAGAACATTGACTATATTTTGAATAGATATCATTCAATCTCATGGTTATAGAAGTAATTACTGCTATGTTTAAAGCGATTACGAGTTCACCGAATCTGAGAACGGAACGAAGACTCTATGACACCATAACAGATAAGCTAGCTATTCTAACGCTTCTCAGCCCCGTTAACTAGAGAGAGAGAGAAGTCCAAGTTTGGGAAAGGGAAATATATTCCACAAACAGGGGGAAGAACGAGCGATCACAACAGGCACAAATCAAACGTATATATACAGCATAAAATCATTCTTGGGAGGCGTTACAAAATAGCATACTAAAAGAGACAACAAACTAATAGCGTTTAAGATCCTCCCAAGTGAGAAATACAACATGAAGGTAAAAATGAGCGCATTGTAGCCCGAAAACAAAAAATTCAAATTTCTAAAATAAAATTACAAAAATAAAGTATTTACCAAGTGAGTTCTGGGAATCAAACATCCCCAACAATTACATTCCAAGTTATTAAATCAATGATGATCTGAATTACATCATTTGAACATTTTAAAAACAGAAAATGATTAAGTAAGCTAAGATTTTAAGTAGAACTATAAAGAACTCTTGAGTGTTAGATATTTCTCTATCTCCCTCTCTTTATGTCTGGGTTTTACTCGTTTGTTTTTTTGTTTTTCTACTGAAGGTTGTATGATGTAATTAGAAGTATCCTCAAGACTATCTAAAAGAAAAAGAAAAATGCTTATTCGCCTATGCTTAGCTATTGGTGTGATAACTATTATGATATAAATAAATGTAACATAAAATTAGTGTCTATGGAAAAATCACTAAACCGTAAAGGAAATGTTCCATATTGAATTTTTACACTTATCAGTGATGTTTAAAAGTTTAAAGAGTCATTCACAATGTAAATATTCAGTCATGCATTAAAAAATGAATAGATACCTAATGGTGATATTAAATATTGATTGTACAATACTGACAAATTAATTTCAGTATACGGTTATGGAGATTATTAGATTTTCGATTAAGATCATGAATCGGTTAGTGTTAGACCACCACTGAAAACCTGGATGTAGTGGACGACCGTTTCTTTCTGTTGTGGGACTCCTCAGCAATGCGTATCCACGATCCCGCCCCGCTTTTGTAATATTGAGCAACTTACTCAAATCAAAAGCTTTCTTTTTCGATACTTTACTGGCGTTTTGATTGAAAATCAGAAATTAAATATCGAAGTTAGACATTAAAACCATTGGATGACGACTCAGTGATCTAGAGGTTAAGCGTCCACGCGCGAGACTAAAGGCTCTAGGTTCGAATTTCGCCTGTGGGATCGTGGATACGTGCTGTTGAGGAGTCCCACAATAAGACGAAACAGCCGTCCAGTGCTTCCAGGTTTTCAATGGTGGTCTAACATCAGTCGATTCATGACCTCAAACAAAAATTAATTTCAGTCGAAGAGTTACGTCATCAGTTGTTTGTCAAACGACTAAATAACTGAATCCTAACCGCAAAAAAATTGAATATCCTCTTTTAGATCATACATGTAACACAGGGAATTCCATTTTGAGATGAAACTATTGTTTATTTTTGCCTAGTTTGTAATAGTTTTAAGATTAATCTCAGTTTGTAGTTAAAAATCCCTTCTAATCAACCAAACTATTGGAAATCACTTGATAACATATATGTTTCGTTGCCGATAGACAGTAATGTATAAAAGCCATTATCTAAACCTATGAATAATACAAATACATATGAACATATATGGATCATATTGCAATCAAACATTGTTGAAATAGACCATATTTAGGATTTTTATTCAGCATATGAATTCACTTTGAATAGTTTGTTTTTTTTCCAATCAATCAGTCAGTAATTCAGTAAATTATGAACAAATATAGATCTGTTCATGTTATCAAGATTTATATCAACACAGTGGGGAAGAAAATTAACAGGATAAAAATCAAAAGAATATCCATAGGTGAAAACTAAACATTAAGAATATTTAGAAATATTGAGCCGATTTTGTTAGATTGAACTAGTCAGACTCGTAAATGTGATTTCAATGTCATGGTGCATCAGTAAAAAAAGTATATGGTTATTACTTGTCAGAGTCTTATCATCACTATATGGTTATGGAGATTATTAAGTCATTGATTAGGATCTTGGACCGATTGATGTCAAACCACCATTCAAAACCTGGAAGCACTGAACGGCCGTCTCGTCCTATTATGGGACTCCTCAGTCGAGCACACCCGCGTGATAAGGATCCACGGCCTTTAGCCTCGCGCGTGAACGCTTAACCTCCAGACCACTGATTCGGCATCCAACGGTGTAGAGACAGGTATCTACCTCAATACAATGGAGGGCGGCCGCGCGATTTCGTGGATTGGTTAAGGTTAGACATTAACACTGTTGGGTGCTGGCCGGATCAGTGGTCTAGAAGTTTAGCGTTCGAGCGCGAGACTGAAGGACCTGGGTTTGAGTCCCACGGGTGGGATCGTTAATGCGCTCTACTGAGGAGTCCCACAATAGGACAAAACGGCCGTCTAGTGCTTCCTGGCTTTCAGTGGTGGTTATCATCAATTAGTTTTTGGATCTCAATCAAGAATTTGATCAGTTTCACTCTTGATATCAAAATTACGTCTTATCATGAAATGATTGCTCACAGATTTCATCGCGTATAACCCATGTGGGAAGATCATAGTAACTGAATTCAACTATACTCACGTAATGGTTTCCAGGATAGAATGATTTGAAATCGTACAAATCAGTTCCTATACAGAAAACAATTGCATTTTATAATACGAGAATTCACAATGAACCATAAAAGCTTTATTTATCTCGTAAAAAGTGTATATAATGCTTAACTTTATTCCTTGCCAACTTGACCTGTTTTTAACTGAGTATTAATGAGGCTAGAATTTCTCTGTGTTATCATAACAATCATTTCTGTTTGTGTTTATCAATTAAGTTTAACTTACAGTTTAACAGGGACAAATGTAATTGAGGAATCGAATGTATAGACTAACATTAAAATTCAATATTTGTGGGAACATACAGAATAAATACATCTGTGCTATTATTACTACTTATGAGCCATGTTATTCAGTCTCTGATCAAATATTATTATGAATAACTCGAGATTCTCTATCAAGAAGTTCACACCTACAACTATAACCCAGTCCTTACCATGAAATATCATTGTTCATACTTGCCATTTTGTTGATGAGGAATTTTATAATTGTGGCTGTAGTGAAGGGTATCTATTGATTAAACAAACTTCAGTTATTATAATCAGAGATGGGTGGCCGTTAGTAGTGGAATTCAGGACGAACGTTTCGTCCTATTTGAGACTAATCACGGGGTGTACATGCATCCCAAAGTTGATGTTCACTCCGGGACTCCAACCCAGTACCATTCTCTTCAAACGCTATCGTGTTATGCTTAGTAACTAAGTCCTGATGACCAGTTCTAAACATCAACGGGAACATTCAAGCAGACAATACAAAATGGATTAAAGCCTCACTCCATTGTACAAGCTAGTACTTAAAGCGAAGGACACTGGGTTAGAGTCTCGGAGTGGACCTCAACGTTGGAATGCAGGCACATCCAACTGACGAGTCGCAATTGGGACGAAACATACATCCTAGATTTCACTGCTAACCACCATCCATCTTTGTGACTCAGGATAGCCAATTACCATTTTCACATTTTTATTTATTCATGTTTCCAGTATTTACTACTTTTTCTTTCTTATTAAGTGTTATCATTTACCCAGTATCATATTTTTTCTTCGTGTTTTACTTTATTAAGCTATATGAAGATCAATCACTAAATTTACTAGTACTAATTATCATCAATATATCTCTAATGGAAATAATGCAAATTACTTGAAATATTCAACTGATGGTAAGTAAATGAATATTTTACTTTATTAGATTTGAGTGGGATTCAATTTAAATGTTTCATGCCAGATATACAACTGTTAAATCACTGTGACTGAACTGATGGACAGAGCCAAGAATGGACACTATATATATGCCAATTAGTCAGCGAGAATTAAGAAACTATTCAATGATAATAGTCATAGTCTAATATTTTAATCTAAGACCATTTTTAACTGACTTTTTAGTGTATAATGGCTAGCAGTGGAATCCAGGACACGTCTTTTGTCCCATTTGTGACTTGTCAGCTGGATGTACCTGCATCTCAGGGTTGGTGTTATCTGTGGGACTCGAACCCAGTACCGCTCGCTTTAGACGCCATCGTATTGGGAAGATACAAGTAAAACAACATCAAGTGAATTTAAACTTTACCAAAAAGCAAGTAGTCACCAGGATTCAGTAGCTAAGTGGATAACGTGATGGTGTTTGAAGCGAACGGTACTGGGTTCGAGCCCCAGAGTGAACATCAACTCTGGGATGCAGCTACATCCAGCTGACGAGTTCGAAATAGGATAAAACGCGTGTCCTGAATTCCACTGCTAGCCACTATCTACTTTTGCTTGGAAATCTTGTGACTTAAGGCTAAATCGAGGCAATCCGCATAGGATGTACATATGCTAACATGAGACTGATCAATTGCAGTCCTAAATAACAATGGGAAGATACAAGTAAAACAACACCAATTGAACATGATTATTTAGTGTGTTTCAGTAAAAAAATATTTTGGTGGAGTTTTGTTCTCTGAGTTGACGTTTGTGTTGATAATGTCGTTCAGAAGAACGATGAAAGCTGAACAACTAAACCATCTAGCTCAGAGAACAAAGCTCCACCAAAGTCATTCACTTGTGCTATGAATCTTCTCCACCATCTCGAGATCATATAATCGTAGTAAGCTTACGGTTGTTCGAAAATGGGAGAATTCCGCCAAAAAGCAGGCTTCTTTTCGAGAACAACTGTATTTTTTCCACGAGTGTCTTTGTCAGCATAGTCTGCCAACAAGTGTAAGGTACAGACCCTTAATCAACTGGCCATTGGGATGGAGAATAGCTGAGCAAAGTGGAAGAGAAAAATATATTTGTTAAGATGATTTACCAAACATTAAACGGTTTTAAATTACACCAACTTAAAGATAATTAAAAGCAGGGTAGAACCTATGACCTTCAAACTTCATAACTAGTATGATATCAATGAATGCAATTTAATACAGGATTACAACTTCATACAGTTGAAGAATCTTAAGCACTTTTGAAAGTGTTGATTATTGCTTGCCAGTAGTATCCTAAAACTAGACTGATCAAAATAAGTCACTATTCTAGAAATAGATTTGAATATCGATAAATTGATAATTAATTTAATATTATGAACTCGATTTAGGTAGATATGTATAGTTAGATGGTGGTTAGAGGTGGTCAATAGGAAACCCTGAACCCAAGTTTCGTGCTACTTGGCCACTTTGCAACTTGGTCGATAGGATTCAATCTGCACTAAGAAGAACTTGACACACATTACATCGATCACCACCCACTGATCAATCAATTGTGAATACATCTTAGTCCTACAGGAGGTTATTCGCGGCCCGGATAGCTCAGTGGTAATGTCTCTGATTGTGAATCTGGGTGACACGGGCTAAAATCCGTCAGGGTACATCAGTTCCCTCAAGATTACAGGTACACCTTGCTGACGAGTGCCAAGTAGCACGAAACCTGGGTCTAGGGTTTCCTGTTGACTACCTCCAACCACCATCCAATCTCAACATATTTCACGCAAGGTCGAGTCACCTGAACTAGTGGCCACACTGCAACTTAGTCGATAGCATTCGATCTACACTAAGAAGAACTTGACACATATGACATTGATCACCACCCACTGATCAATCAATTGTGAGATTTCCATAGTACTGTAATGAATAAGAACACATAAGTGGGGAAAACTGAATGTATTTGAATATAAAATTACAGAATTATTTAACAAAATCTGAGAATCATACAATAAATACTTCATATACAAAATATTAATCCATTGTTCTTTGGTTTCCACATTAATCATTCCTTATTCTCGTTCTCTTTTATTTAATCATTTTAACCTTCTACGACTAAGTAGTTCACTTTCGATTGATGATACATGCTACTTATATCTATCGACATTAGTAGTACACACTACAATACCTGTGAAATCAATGCTTATATATAATGTTATGCAACTATTACTTTGATACAAATAACAATCTATTAATAACCTTTATACCTATAAAAGTGATATACCTATATACACAATTGTTATCTGTGAACCATTATTGTTTTGTCAATTAATTAGGTTAGAACATTGATGTTCTTCATTGAATGTATAAATCCATATCATCTATCTATCTATCTATTTTTTTTTCTAACCATTTCTTAGTACTATGCCTTGAATTAAATACATTTTTACACTTTCTGAATAGTCATCTTTATATAAAATTTAACTGAAAAATCATCAAAATAGAAAACTTTATCATCTAATAATGAATCAGTTTCTCAATTAGAGGCACAATGGAATTGACAACAACAACCCAATAAAATCGATCAATTCTTTTTTTAAAACCTTAACAATACTTGAATACGTCACATTATTATCATTACTACTGTCATTATTATTATTATTATTATTATTATTATTATTATTATTATTATTATTAGTAGTAGTAGTAGTAGTAGTAGTAGTAGTAGTAGTAATAGTAGTAGTACTAGTAGTAGTATTGATTTAAGGTGGATTGACCAATGTACATGAGATAGATGAGTTAATACTGATCACAGTACATATGATAAAGTATGTTTCTGAGTGAAACTCCACTTTTTATTCTTATATATATATATATATACACATATATCACTGTTGATATATCGATTAGTACTATTAATCTAGATCATTAAATATTGTCCAAAGTTTTTGATGAGTATTTAATTCATTCTATAATGAATTGATTAATTATTTAATAAATGATTAGATATATCTACTTAATAAGAATAAGAGTAATATTATTAACATTGAAATGTTTCATTCTAATAATTCTAATAATTTATCATTATATCGTTTATCATTAATGGTAAGTTGATTATGTTGATAGATATAATAAAAGAATTGATCTATTCAAATGATTTTGGGATCATTTATTTGATCTTTTTTTTGTTTTGTTTGTTTTTTTTCTTGGGAACATTTCATTTTAGACTTCATCTTCTATTATTTGTGAATCATTCAATTCAGATAATCAATATTCTGAATTGACTCCAATTGATTTAAATACAACATCATCTAATATCATAGATCCTATTACTAGTACTAGTACTATTATTATTACTCCTCCTCCTCCTCTTCCTCCTGCTACTACTACTACTGCTAATGTTACAAATGATATAGAAAGTAGTATAATTCATGAAAATCACAATTTACCTGTACGTTGTAAATCATTAGAAATAAAATCAACAGAAAAATCTTTAATAAATTCAACTTCAAAGAAACGTCATCGAAGTACTGTGGAAAATCAATGGAATCATTCAAATTCAATGAATACTTTAACAAATTTAAAATATCATCATACAAAAAATAATTTATGTTTATCATTAAATGGAGAACAAAAACATCAAGAAGAATGTATGATAGATGTAAAGAAACGAAAAACTGTGGATGATAATGTAAGTAGTATGTTTTCTGATTAAAATTAATATTCGACTGATTGAAGTTAAATATTAACACTGTTGAATGCCGACCAGTTCAGTGGTCTAATGGTTAAGCGCTTATGTGTGAGACTGATAGGTTCTAGGTTCGAATCTCGTGAGGCTGGATCGTGGATATTCGTTGCTGAGGAGTTCGACTGTAGGATGAAACGGCTGTCCAGTGCTTCCAGGCTTTCCATAGTGTGGTCTAACTTCAATAGATTCATGAATTCAACAATTAATTATTACTATTATTATTATTATGTTGTACAAAGTTGATTATAATCAATAATATCGTAGATCAGATAAATTAATTTTCTAATTTAGAAAAGACGTAAAGAAATTAGAACATCACAATGGTGGTACAATCATAAATTTGTTTTTATCAGATTCTACTTATAAAAGCTTAATAGAGATATATTAGTCTTTAATAAGTAGGCTATTTGATTTAACTCTGATCAAAACAACCATATGTATGTACACAAATGGTGTCTAGAATCTAATGGACAACTGAATTTAAATAGAGTCCGAGTTATTAACATTGAAAGAAATCAATTAATAAATTGTATCTAGTCTTATCTTAATTATTTGATATAATTTAACTGGATCTTGTTGAGAGACTAATGTCAACTAGTTCAGTTAGTTGAATAGTTTTCATTCGGATGATAGTTTTTTGTCAAACACTGTAGAGCCAGTGAAATGTCACTGAGCCCTAGTCAAATCATCATGCAGTTGGGTCACTGAATATCGAACAGTTTATCGATTATCTCCGTCTAGGTCAGGGACAACCAACGCGCATCAGTTAATTGTACGTCACGGATTGGCCCATGCGGTGGTGGTCACGTTTTCGCCGGTACCTAATTTAAGTAATATATTTCTATGGTTAAGATCATGAGTCAGTTGAAGCTAGACCACCATGGATTAGTTGAAGTTGGACATTGACACCATCGGATGCCGGCTCAGTGGTCTAGTGGTTAGGTGTTCGATTGCGAAACCAGTAGGGTCCTGGGTTCGAATCCCGCATGAGGCGAGGTCGTGGACGCTCACTGCTGAATCCCACAATAGGACGAAACGGCCTTCCACTACTCCCGGGTTTTCCATGGTGGTTTAGCTTCAACTGACTCATGATCTTAACCATTGAAATTACTATAATATCTACAAAACCCATCTGATATTAATATATTTCTGTAATAACTTCCATTGTATTGTATGGTCTTGAAAGCATCCAAATTACCTTGGTACGATGAATGGGTAATCCACGTTGGGTGCTGAACACGAAGTGTGACTTTGACGTTAGGTCCTCAATCATTCAGCAGAAATCATCTACATTGATGATCTACAATACGTTGTCTCGTTACTTCAATTGAAATATGCTTAAAACTTTGCGATTGATTTTCAATAAAATCATTACTTACTTCAGTTATCTCGCAAAAATTCATTCAAGAAGTATTCTTTAAAGTAGATTAGTTAAATCTGATATTTTTTCTCTTGAGGCTAAATAATTATAACTGAAATATATCTTTTTGTAATGTTTACCATCGTTTCTTGTTATCTTTTACGAAAGATACATTTGTTGATATCATTAAGATGATGTTAAATCGAATTCTTAATTTATTCCACAAGTGAACATCAATTCTAGGATTCAGATATATCCAGCTAACGAGTCCCAAGTAGGACAAAACATTCGTCTTTGATTCTCTTGCTAGCCATCATTCATCCCTAAACATTCTTAGTTGTTTACAGACAACGATAGTCTATAGGAAATGATATCTGGAAATATATTTGATAATCAAATTGAATAGTTGTATAAATAGTAAACTGATGTAATGATCTTGTGATAACTTCAATCTATTCTAATACTTTTGTTTATTTAACCTCACTGTCATTATGTCTAACAGAAGTTTATTATCAGTATTATTATCATCCTGTAAAAATAAGTAAATATATTTACGATTGTACACCTTTGAAAATGAATTCGCCGAAAAAAAGAGAACTCTTTGCTGAACTAATCTTTCTAATTTAGATCTCATATCTCTATCAGTTGACTTACTCATGTAAATATGTGAAGAACTAGACTTCAATTGTCAATACCGATGTATTATATTGAGAAGTAAAGATGGTTGACTATAGGAAACCTTTCCAAAAGATAATATATTATTAATTTCATTCTGAGTATGTCTTTTTTATGGATATCACTTGTGTGGAGAAAAACATAACCATTTTAATAATTTTGGAGAATTCATCACAAGAACCAGATAGCTATGTTTTTTAGTTCTCTTATATATATGAAGGACGCTGTTATTTCCACCATAATTTTTACCCTAAATATTGATAATACGATTTGATTAAAGGAAGCCAAGTATGACATAGGGGTTTCACACTAGTTGGTATTTAACAGTAAAGTATATCTACAATCTTGAGGAAATAGATGTTTCATATCAGTCCCGAATTCGTGTCAACAAACACCGTTAACACTTCATGTAGTAACCAACCTCTTTTAGGATTGAGGTGTATACTTACTAATTGATCATTTGGTAGTACAAAGCAAAAGTATATTTCCTAGTCGAAATTCCTAACTGTAAACCTAAATTCGAACTGAAATTCCGAATTCCAATTCAAAAATCTAACCCTAACTTATCTTTTTTTTGAGTTTTTGTTCAATAAATTATTGGTAGATATCACTTACACTCTAATTGACTAAAGCCTAACTTCACCTTCTCAAGGTTATCTCAAAAACCACTCAAGGTCATCAGTGAAGTATCATTTTATCATAGTAAACAATGTCATGTTACCTACTTCTTAATGTTGATTGAATTCTAGCGATCAGTTTAGTAATGTCGATCGCTATATTGCAACTTAATAGATAGAATTCAACCATTACTAAAGAATACGACATTTGTTATTACTTAGTGACTATATCGGTGAGACTATAATTTATGGACGACCTTAGGGCAACGCTAGACTTACCTTGAGAGTGTTCACCTAATAACTAGGATTAAATGAGGGTTATAAACTAATGTGAGGAATAAGAATTATGATTTACAATTGATGATTAGGCTTGAGAATTAGATTTATAGTTTTCATCACGAACTGATATCAGCTATAATGCCATAACTCTATTTAATCAAATGGATGAGTGAATTTCGTAACAAAAACCAAGACCTGTTATCTTATACCTGATTATAGTCCCACCCTGTAAATCATGTAATGTCAAATTAGAATCAATGAAATGATCATTAAAATTATTGATTGGTATTCTGGTTCTACTTTTTCTTTTCATTCCTTTTTGTTTCTTCGTAATTATTAGATGCTTCAAGTTGGTTCCATTATTCCTGAACCATCAGCAGTTTATAATTATACTACTAATAAACCATATGAATATGATGAATTAATTCATGATTATCCAAAATTTAAATCTTTTAATCAACAAGTAAATATGAATAGAACATATTCACATTGGATGAATTCATATGAACAGTTTGAAAATAATAAAGAAGAATTAACAAATGAACTATCTACAAATCGTATACAATTAAAACAATCGATTAAAAAAGGCTCCACTCGTGAGAATATATCAAAAACATTGACGAATCATAGTAATTGGAACACTTTCAATGATACAATGAATGTTAATCATCATAAAGATGAAATAGATAATGAATTATCATCTGCATCGGAGCTTACAACTGCTGCATATAATGTTAGTTAATAAATTCATTAATGAAGATTGTTTTATTATATAATTTGAAAAGGATTTTTATTATTGACTGACATAGTATTGGGTTCACTGTGTGATCTTGAAAATCTTGAGGAGTGAGTTTGTGTTTGAAGTACGCAAGTGTCTCGTAGTTAATAGATCTCAAACACGGATAGAATGGATGTGTTCAATTTTTGACTAAGATCATGAACTGATTGATGTTAAACTACCATTTAAAGCCTGGAAGCACTGGACGGCCGTTTCGTCCTATCGTAGGACTCTTCCGAAGTGCACATCCACGACCTCACTGGCGGGATTCGAACCCGGGACTTCGAGTCTCGCGAGCGGTATCTTGCACACACACTGCCTAGGAGTCCCACGAGAGGATGAAACAGCCGTCCAGTGCCTCCAGGTTTTCCATGGTGATCTAGCTTTAATCAGTTCATGATCTCAATCAAAAACTTAATAATCTTCACAACCCTATACGTATATGTTCAAGTCTGTTTTTTAATAATTTGAAGTTGAAATTAATTAATTTCAAGTGATGTATTGAAATTTAAATTTCACGTTTCTATCATTGTCTTTCAAATATCGGTATTCAACGAAAGAAATCAGGACTCGTCATAATGTTGATGGAGTTTTGTTCTCTGAGCTGGATGGTTTAGTCGTGGAGCATTCATCGTTCTTGTGAACGACATCATCAGCACAAAAGTTCTGTTTGTCATAATGATCCTAAAAAAATATGTTGATCCTTGAAGAACGGAAATCATCGACTTTTTCAGTGAATGCACTTATTTTAATAGTTGAATTCATAAGTCGGTCTAAATTAAACCACCATTGAAATCCTGAAAGCACTGAACGACTGTTTTGTGCCGGATCGTGAATGTACACTTCTGAGGATTCTCATATTAAGACAAAATGGACGTCTAGTGCTTCCAAGTTTTCAATGGTGTTCTAATTTAGATCGATTCGTGAATTCAACTATTCAATTTACTAAGATCTCCATAAATCCCCATTCTGATAATACATTTATGTATATATTTATGGAAGTTAAGTGAAACTATTATCTCGTACAATTCAATTGTTATTTCAAAAGAATTCTAGTATCATTATTATTAATCAATTCAAGTGAAACGCAATCAGTCAGTTTGGATATGTTTAAATAATTAAACAACTGATACTGTTCTTAAATTCTCTTTGATTGAATCGATATGAAGATCAATTAAAGAACCATTGAGTGTCACCAATATAGAACGGAAGATACTCATATTTTCTTATACATATCAATTCGAATCGATTCATACTATCGAGTAATTATACTCTGTATATCTTGTGTATTAATGGTTAGTTATAGTTAATTTCATTATGTGATAGAAACCAATTTCATATGATTGATTTAATTATCTTTCTGATGCTTAAAAGTTTGAGAAATACTTCATGGTTCTTAACTGATTGTGAATGACTAATTTGAACATTCCATCCTAGACTATTAAATAAATATGAATGCTAGTCTTTATCTGAATAAATCAGTTTTGAATCAGTATTCATCAAATTCAGTATTGGCCTCCAAGCAGTATCATGAAGTTCCGTGTTAAAATAAGGCTTTAATTCAATTACACGAAAACATTATTGATTAATGAGCTGTCTATGTATGTAGTTCAACATGAACTTGCTTTCATATTATTCTTCATTTCTATGAGAAGCTATGACTTTTGATTATATTTTCATGTATTTCATGTAATAAATTGTAAAGCATAATACAGAGGACTAAGATCAGTCATTCAGTCAGTCAGCTACAACGTAGGACTAGGCACATATATGCATTGGTCCAAGTTGTCACACCTAACTAGCATAACGTGATGAACACCAAATTCATAAAAGTTACTTCAATGGTAATCATATATAGAAGAAAGATTATATATAAGGATATAGTATATGAAGAAAGAATTAGTTAGTAGAAAGAAAGGTAGAAAACGAATTTAGTCTCACGGTTTAATAGAAGACAAAGAGTGCATGCACCTACACCATTGTGATCGATTCTGAGCCATATCACCTACAGTTTCCAGACAATGGTTACAATAGTCACGCGGACCCCAACCAAGTAGTTTGCATCTACCAACATGGCTAGACGACTAGAAGTCAGTGATTTCAAGGACTAATGCCACGTCTTGGTTTGTCCGCCCTTAACTTTCTTCCAACCATCCCCAACACTAGTCAGCATTGCGTGTTGTGGTAATCGGTGTTCAGGCATACGTAACACGTGGCCCAATCATCTCAGACGATGTAGATTTACAGCCCCATCAACTGACCATAATTCCCTAATACCCTGTGTATAACTTCACTAATACTTATCCGGTTTGCAGTCATAAAGCAGAACAGAACGAACTGCCACGAAGTATACTCGTCCTTTTATTGATAGACGGATATTTGGCCTTCGCCATCGGTGACGTAAGTTGGCAAAGGCCAAACGAGTCTGTGCTGAGATCTCGTCAGACACCAATCCATTGGGACGGAGGACTAAGATGCCTTCATGGTGGAAAACGTCTGTCGGACGATGAGACTAAATCTCATGTCTATTGAGTTAATTAGTTTTGAACATGCATCTAAGTGTATGTATGAGATCAAATGCCACACTACAATATCTCTAAACCATGAGGAAATTTTGTACATAGTGGTCTCCATCTTTACCCTCAGTGTTTTTATTTTACATCATAATAATTAAGAGTCAAAATAGTAATTAAAATAAGATAATTCACTGAATGTTTGTTGAACTACCCGGTTTTAATGGAACTCTCTGCGTAACAACTGACGACAAACAGAGATATTCCCTAATATAGTACTCAATGTTTAAATGATTATTGGAGTTTATTAGTCAATATATATTACATTGTTAATGACTTTGTACAGAATGGGCTATATTTAATTACGAAGTATACACAACTAGCAGTTGACATTAAACATACATTTTAAATGTAAAAAATTCTTCATTAATAATCTTTATAACTTCTTTTTTTTTCCACAATAGAATTTTGTACGTCGTGTCGTTGATGATACATTGGATCGTACAGTGACATTTTGTGAACAACCACGACATGCTATAACAGCTTTAGAAAATATTTGTACAAGAGCATGGCCTCAATTAGAAGTGAAACGTCATCGTAATCGAATACGTGCCTATCTTAAGGCATGTAGACGTAATTCCAAAAAGAATAAAGGTCAAATCAATATGAAAGAACCACCTGCAAATGGTTTGTCAATTGAAGCTCGACAGCTTGTATCAAAAGCGTTAACTTTAGTAGCTGGAGATTTAGACTACTTAAGACAAGTGAGTAATTGATTTATTGGAAGTTAATTAGTACTGGTGTAATTTTTATGAATTAAAACTAAACACTATAGTCATACCCCTTACTACGATATTGCGTAATACTAGTTTAAAATTAATAATCGCTCACAACTTTTGTTGATGAGTGCAAAAAACTGTCAGATTAACAAACGAACATTTACACTGCTAGAGGGTGAACAAATCAGTGCTGAGGGACTGTTTACAGTTCTATGTGTAAGCATTATAAAAGTGACAAAGGGCTGTGTAAAAAAGTCTTTATATGATACTTGTTGGATATTGATTTGAAAAATTCTGAAGTGCAATCATTATGAAAACGATTAAAGTGGCTTGTAGGTTCAGTCAAGTTCATTTATATAGTGACAAAACTAATAAGGTGTGTGCTATTTAATTATGATAAAACGTTGTCAAGTGAAGTCATGTAGTTTGGGTCAGTAATAAACCCTAGTTAGATAACACAGTATAGTCGTTTCGTTCAATTCCTCAACAGTATGTATCAAAAAACTCACTGAGGACCGCACAGTCAACGTTCAGGTATCGCGGTGGGAGTCTAAACACTAGATCACTGATCCAATGGTTTAAGTGTCTAGCCTCAATCAATTCACTATATTTAACAACCATGTTTCTGTGTTATCATCAGGTAACTTTATCGTACCAGACATCAATGAACTCCATCGGTCACAACTTCCTAGTGTTTCTCAGTAAAGAGTTGTGTAAATTGTTGAGTTTTTGATTGAGAGCATGAATCAATTGATGTTAGACCACCATTGGAAACCTAGAGGCACTAGACGACCGTTTTTGTCCTAGTACGGGACTCCTCAGCAGTGTGTATTCGCCATCCCACAGGTGGGAATTGAACCTAGGACCTTCGATCTTGCACGCGAACACTTCCGAGGAGTCCCATACTATGATGAAACGGCTGTCCAGTGCATCCAGATTTCCTATGTTTGTCCAACTAATGTTAGTTCATGATGAAATTAACAATCCTCATAAACTTCTATACTGACAGTGAAGCTAAACTGTTGAATTTATTTCTTCTTACATTTTCTGTAGACGATGCAAGCAGAGAAAGTTAAAAATGAATCATTATTTTCTTCATCAAAATTAGACAATTCAAGTGAGAAATCATACTCTGCCACTTCCACCACTAGGAAACGATCTCCCACAAGTTATTCATCAAAAATGAATTTATCCACCATAACAACAACAACAGCGAACAGTTTAGATTTCACAGATATTTCTAAACCGAGACATGATCAATTTGAAACTTATGGCGCTGGTGATAAGTTAAAATTTAATAATAATAATAATAATAATAATAATAATAATAATAATAATAATAATAATAATAATAATAACAAAAATCTTTGGAATATATCAAACAATCTATTAAATGACATAATAAGTAATACATCATTTCCATTTACTGATCCATTATTTTGGTCGAATTCATTTATTCAAAATACTAATTTAGATGGGAATTATTTAGCCACTGCGGCAGCGGCAGCAGCAGCTGCTACAGCGATGGCTGCTGTTAATCCAGCTAATCTATTGAAATTATTACCAACTCCAATACAATTAAACAATAACACATATTCATCTAATAATACTAATATAAATACGACTGCTACTAGTACTTCTTATTCCTTAACTACTTCACCTTTCACATCATCGTCATCATCATCAGTATTTTCAAATTCACCTAGATTATTAAATAATGATAATGTGAATAATAATGAAAATATCAATGTTACAACAAATACTACTAATAATAATAATAGTAGTATTGATTTTGATGCGAAACATGATCAATTATCAACTATACAGAGAAAATATTCTAAACGAAATAAATTGTTATCACATACAACATGGTTCGATGATGATCATTTGTTCCAGGCCAGTAATAATAATAATAACAATGGTAACAATGGTCACTCCTCAAGTCCTAAGTTGAATGAGCATAAATTTATATCATCCGATAAAGATTACAATATAGAATCAGAGATAAACAGACAATCTAATTTAATTAACTTTTATCGTTTATATTTGTCAAACGATCCAAGCCATAATAATAATAATAACAATAATAATGATTTGAATTACTGTTCACCACCGCCTGCACATATTAGTTCAATTCAATACAGTCCGATAATTAATCAAATATTGGACAGATTAACGGATTCATCATTATTAACTCATGTAAGTTTATTGTTTTTATTTAGAATTTTTCTATCTGGATAGGTTCATTTATATATTCTGGTCAAATCTTAGGTTCATACTGACGGACAGGACAAAATATTTAGTCGGTATTCTTTGGTGTAATGTTAGTGGTACTGTTCGAGATAAGATTCTCCGCCTCGAAATGCAAAATGTTGTTTCTGGATTGGGTTGCATCGACACCCGAACTAATGATAGGGAGTGTGTCAACCGCTTCACTTATCTTAGAAGTCTCAACAGCCCTTGTGGTCTGGTGTGTGAAGAAATCTCATCAAGGATACAGAAGACTCGACTGGCTTTCTCCGAATTGCGTCATTTATGGCGTAGGTGAGTGGGGACAACCGAATGTATTTGAGCACAAAATTACAGAACATCCCACTAAAATCTGAGAACTATACAGTAAATCTTTAGTTTGAAAACTATCAATCCATTGTCTCAAACTTGACTGCTTCTTTTGCGAATATCAGTCCATCGTCTTAGATTTCATTTTTTCGGGATTTTCATACCAAATGCTTTCCGTTCTCGTTCCTTCCTTCTGAAATGCATTATATTCCTGTCTATCGTTATATACTACTTATGTGGATATAGGTAGCTCACCACAACTCTACTGGTAAAAATTCCCAATCGTGTACATACTCTGGCCTCTGCCATCACGCTTAGTTGATAGTCACCCTGTAGTATATAAAGTCAAAATATTCAGAGTTATTTAAAGTAAACGCTAGAGTGCTCATATCGGTCGATACGTCGTTAGTTTGGTACAGTACCAAGATTGCATAAGTGGTATCCCGATTGATGAATAAATCATGTGATAACTAGCTGGGCTTAAAGTCATAACACTACTTATCTCTTGTTATATTCAGTATTATAAAACAAGCTTGTTAGAAGCATTGGCGAGATTAGAATTTATGGACGAATCAATCAGGTATGAGATAGCAGGTCTTGGATTTTGGTGCGAAATTCATTCGTTCTTTTGGCATTATAGTTTATGTCAATTCGTGATGAAAACCCTAAATCTAATTCCCAATCTTAACCATCGATTGTAAATCATAATTATAATTCCTGAGCACTCTCAAGGTCAGTCTGGTGTCGCTCAAAGCTCATCCATATATTATAATCTCACCGAAGCATTTTATAGTGTTTGAGGTCAGTTTAGTTTTTATGAGAATGATAGGAAAAAATGTTTAGTGTAATATTTATCTGAAAAAGAAACATACAACTTATAATGATTCTTTCTTTTCCATAATTTAGGATGATGTGGAATTTTTCATACAAAATTATGAAATTACCAAAGTTGCCATTCAACAAGCACGTTGTAGATCGAATTTAATTTTGAAGAAAATTGAAATTGTAGAAAATCAAATTAAATCTTCTTCAATAATCAATTCAAAGACAATGCCATTAAATCTATCTTGATCATTTATATATATATGTAATTTGTTTATTTATATATGTAAAGAAAGAATGATTCTTTAGTTTGTCATTGTGACAATTATTTAATGTGTATAAATAATGCGATTGGAAAGTAAAGATAAGGAATCATCTTGAATTTACACTGTGTTATACATTAGAATACTATAAACAGGAACTACATCTTGAGGAATTGAATTGTGAAAAGAAAACAAACAAACAACAACAGAATTATGGTTATTTCATTTCGTTTGTTATTGTTGTTCGTGTTATTTGTCTTCTTCAGTGAATTGACCTACTAACTATAGAAAAATGCCAAAGACGTCTTTTGTTTTTTCTCTTTTTAGTATATATGTACATTGATTGCTCAATAGTTAGTTATTTTGAGAAATGTAATTCACTTTTGATTTATTAAACATTTAGTATTAAAACAAGTAGGTATTCTGATGTATTTTTCTTGGACAAGCTTGTTTTGTTTTAATGTAAAACAAAAATGCAGCATGTTTAAAACTTCATGACAAGATTTATGCCTGATAATCGATTAATTGTAGAACGATTAACCACTGTTTTAGAATGATAACGAGAAAATTGCTATAGGAACATTTAATAATGGAGTGAGATATGGTAAACTACTTATTAATCTTTTGAGTAGTATAATTGCAAAAGGCAATTTTTGCATCTAGACACGTTTTTCGAGCATTTTGATAATCAGGGTATTATTGTATAGACGAAATGATATTTCAAACGTCAATGACCATCCTCAAGACATCATTTTGGAAAACTCAGTGCCTCCAAACTACAATTTATTTAGATTCGAGTTTCCGCTTATACACTTCATATGATTGCGAGACTGATCTAGAAAATCATAATCAATTCATAATATATCAAATTTCTAATAAAATGAATCCAGGAATCTATCCAACTATGATCGTAACTCATTTATAATTAATCGTCTTAAAAGTACAGTTTTTTTCATAGACTTTTCTGCTAGTAAACATAAGATGGTAAAAATAGTAGATCAACATTTTTTGTAGACAATGATTACATTTATAAGTATAGGGTTATGTAGATTGTTGAGTTTAGATTGAATATCATGAATGATCAATGTTACATTTATAAAGGAAAAAGACAATTTAGCGAAGATAATTGTCTTTATAGTTAACAGATTTGTTATAAATGATGGTTGTGATACGTGGCCATTAAGAGTTGAAGATACTCGTAAACTACTAGTATTTGACAACAGACGTTTTAAAAATATTACTACCATCTGCTGGGATCACCGGGTAAGTAATGGTGAGGTTAGACACAGGGTATTAGGAAAGGATGGTAAATCAGTTGATGAGGATGTGAATCTTCATAGACTGAGATGGTTGGGCCACGTGTTACATATGCTTGAACACCGATTACCACGGCGCACAATGCTGACTGGTGTTGGAAGCAGCGGGAAGAAAGTTAGGGGCGGCCAAACCAAAACGTGGCATCAGTGCTTGAAGTCACTGACTTCTAGTCTGAGCCATGCTGATAGATGCAGACTACTTGTTTAGGGTCTGTGTGACTATCGTAACCACTAGTGGTTGAAGACTCTGGGTGACATGGCTCAGAATCGATCACAATGGCGTAGGTTTATACACTTTCTGTCTTCCCTTAAACTATGAGATTGAAATCGCTTCATATCTTTCTTTCTACGAACTAATTCTTTCTTCCTATACTATATCCTTATACGCAATCTTTCTTTTATATATAACCACCTCTGAATTAACTTCTTTTATGAATCCGGTGTTCATCTTGTTGTGTTAATGTGGTATGGCAACTTGGACCGATACATATATGTGCCTGGTCCTACGTTGTGACTGACTGACTGACGATAAATGATGGCCTGTATTAAGATATAATGAAATTGACTAATTAAAAAAGAAAATTCCAGCAAATATACTAACCATAAATATGAAAGTACAACAAAGAAAACTCACTTCGCTGAATTATCCTTATTCTTCATCAATTATACAACGAGACTTTATATATATATTTATTTAATCATTGAATTTACTGGCCTACTCACTTGTGTTTACTTAAACTGTCAACAAATATTACAAACTTTCCGTACATTGTAAATAGTCTCATTTGTTGTGATTTTCAGATGAATAAAGTAGTTTGTTTCACAAAATTAACTGTAGGGATAAAACTAAAGTCTCGACAGCTATATACAATGACAGATTTATATTGTGGAAGTAGTTAACATAGACTTATTTTGTAATTAGTTCTTGTTATTATTCGCGTTTTCTTTTATCAATTCTCATAATTTATCGACTGTAAAAGGTTACGTCAAAACAATACGCAGCTCGGTTCTATCACACTTGATCGATAGCGGTCATATAGTGGACAGAAACAAGTCGTTCAATTTTCGATAATGATATTAGAAGACGAAGATTATCAGAACTATATGATATATTAGCGCAATACATTTCGAACAATCTGGTCACACATATACTTGTTAAGAGCATTTATATATAAAAACCAGGTCTGTTGTGAGATAGTAACTCACTGAGGACAATGGTATACGGTAGCGCAACTTCGTGGATTGGTTGAAGTTAGACATTAACACCGTTGGATGCCGGCTCGGTGGTCTAATGGTTAAGTGCTCGCGCTCGAAGCCAGTAGGTCCTGGGTTCGAGCCCCGGGTGGTGCGGGGTCGTGGATGCGCACTGCTGAGGAGTCCCATACTAGGATGAAACGGCCGTCCAGTGCTTCCAGGTTTTCAATGGTGGTCTAGCTTCAACTGACTCATGATTTCTATCTGTGAAATTGACTTATTACCCAGAGTGATTAGGTTTCAAATTGTGTTCACATTATTATTATTATTACTCTTATCATTATCCTTATCTCCTCTTACCCCGTTTCCTGTCTAGTTGACCTTTTATTTTTTATATATAAATGCTCTTAACAAGTATATGTGTGACCAGATTGTTCGAAATGTATTGCGCTAATATACCACATAGTTCTGATAATCTTCGTCTTCTAATATCATTATCGAAAGTCGTTCAAAGTTATTTATCGTATTCACACAAGCTTTCCTTATGGTGTTCGATCTCGTCTCTTACACATAGCAGAAGCTATAGGAATCCGAGCCAACAAGCCAAGTCTTTGTGTTCAGAAGAAATTTGTAACTCCCTTATCTCTCCCTTGGCCTTAATTAATAAATGAATTTATTTATTTATTCCTTTTCTAACTTACTCTTCGTTTATTATTTTTCTTCACACCCTCCTACCACTTTATTTTCTCTCAACTATGTTTCATGGTCCAATTATCTGAACATTTCTTATTACGTCATCTTATAATTTTATAATTGTTATCTCAGTTTCTATATTTTTATAATCACTGACCTATTTCCGATTATGTAACATTGATTTGAGTCGTTATTATTCTTATCAAACCTAGTACACCTGTCATCACACTAGCAATTTGTACATTTCACATTTTACATATTATGTAATCGTTTTCGTTGTTATCATTGACTTATAAACTACCTTGATTGGTTTAATAATTTCCTATATGCATATAAATATTCATGTATATTAGAGTAAAGCCTGATGAGGATCTAATCGAAAAGAATATTGTTCGCTTATATATGTTGTTCTAAATTTACAATATGGGAATATTTCAAATATTGTAAAATTGTTGTTTAAAAAAACAAACATGATCTTTGATCATCCGTTCTAATTTTGAATCCCTCTTGCATGACACATTGATTATCGCTAACAAATACACTGCTGTACACATATACTTCTTGTATTCAATTATCCTCTGTTACAACAACAGAACTTGGATATATTTAATGTATATGTTTACAGATCATATAGATATTCTCATTACATGCTTTATGTAGATATACATTTCGGATTATAGCAACCATAGTTGGAATTACTAAATACATATAAGTGTGGATTACAAGACTAAAAGAAACTCGAACACGCCTACTCCTGACAGTTTAAGTAACATCCATTTTATGAAAACATAAGCGAACTAATTACAAAATAAGTCAATGTTAACTATCCTCACAATGTAACTATCAAAAAAACCAACACGATTTCTTAAACTGCATATACATTTCTATTGAAGTTTAATTAGTAGTCAACGTTTTATGACAATCATTCACTGAACGATACGCTTGTGTGTCCCCCCATGAAGTAAGAGTTTTATTTAATGAATCATAAAAAAATTCCTACAATAATAAAATAATAACTCTAAGGATATGACATAATTGTCAAAGTGTCATTCAACAAGAATTTAAAGTTAATTTAGATTGTGTAATTATTATTAGTAGGGGGAATATCAACCATTTGAACCAAATTACAACTGGATATAATAAAAAGGAAAACGGATTCTTATCAGCTATACATTATAATTCAATTAAAGAATGGATAATAACATATAGAGAGAATCTGTTATTAATTCTGTTAACGGATAATAATAATAATAATAATAATAGATTTATAGGTATGTATATGTGATTAAGAAAATTATAAATCACAATATTTTCCTTGTGTAACTCAATTAGAAAAAATAGTTTGTTCAATAGCATCAAAATATCATAGAAAAAAGCACAGTTGTCAACAAAATAAGATGGGCTAAGTAGGTAGGTAGTAGGTAGGTAGGTAGGTAGGTAGGTAGGTAGGTAGGTAGGTAGGTAGAGAGAACATTTATCATAATCGGATAACAGTTACGGAAAAGAAGTATACAATTGTAATCAAGTAGTATTTAAATGAATCACCACAAATTGGAACTTATGCAATAAACAATGTCGTTATAAGTGAATATATTTATTGCTTTAATTCAAAGATTAGAGTCCAATTGTTCATGTTTAGTCATGGCCAAATCAATCTCATTGATCATTAACTGGAAAAGAACGAGTTAAGAATAAAAAGAATAGACACTATCATATAAACACAATAGTTAGTCATAAACAACATTAAGCCTAGCATAAAAGTGTATCAGCCCATATTGTCAAACTACATTATGACGGTGGGATGAAGATAATGAATAACAAATGAGTTGAAACCATTGTAGTACTAATGGTAGGGAGAAAGATTAAATATTGGATAAAACGTCTTCAACCACTGTTCGAAGTTTATGCGCAGATCCTAACCAATTAGTCTGAATCTACCAAGGTAAGTGGTAGTTTACCGATTCATTAACCTGAATTTCGTACTCTAAGGTTACCGTCCGAAATTGTCAAAATCATGATTCAGTTTTTCCTCAGATCACTCAAGAAGAAGAATCCTTCCAACAAGTGAAAGTTTTTATGCCTCAAATAGCAATTAAGCTAATCTTATTCACACAACTAACAAATTCTTTAATTCGTGATAGGTGCAAATCATCAAACCGATTTTGAGCCATACTGTCTGAGATATTCGATCATTGGTTCCAACTGTTACGT